ACATTAACAGCTAACAGGGAAATGCAAATCAAAACCACAATGAGATACCAGTTCACACCCTCTAGGATTGTAAGAATAAAAAACTGATAATAACAAATATTGGGGACCATATGGAGAAAATGAAACCCTAGCACAATGCTAGTTAGGAATGTAGAATGGTGCATCTACTTTGAAAACGGTCTCAAAGTTACTCCAAAAGTTAAACACAGAAATACTATATAATGCAACATTCCCACTCCTAAGTGCATATAGAAAAGAAAACATTGGTACACATAAAATGATGTACACAAAGCTTTATAGAAAAAAATCATTGGTAATAGCCAAAAGTGGATATAACCTAAATTTCCAACTGATGAATGGATAAGCAAATGCAGAATATCCTCACAAAGAAATATTTGGAAGTAACGAAGTACTGATACACTCTATGACATAGATCAATTCTGAATACATTGTGCTAAGTGAAATAAGCCAGTCATAAAAAATACATATATTGTATGAGTTCATTTTTATCAATTTCCAATATAAGCAAAATCACATAGATATAAAGGAGATTACCGCTTGCCTAGGACTGGGTGGATGGGGAGACAAGGGCATGATGGGTAAAAGGATGGGGTTTCTCTTGGGGACAATGCAAATATTCTAAAACACTGGTGATAGATATGTAGCTCTACTAAAAGTCAGTGAACTTTAAATGAGTGGATTTTACGATATTTTAATTATATATCTTAAGACAGTTGTTTCAAGAAGGAAGATGGCATGGAGCAACTAAGGAAAAAATACAACTCATGGACATGGATAACAGTGTGGTGATTGCAGGGAAAGTGGAGGTAAAAGAAGGTATGGGGGGATAAATGGTAATAGAAAATATACAATAAAAGTAATGTAAATGAAAAAATTAAATTAAAAAAAGAAAAATGTTTTCATTTAAAATTTAATTTTATTTGTTTGTTTATTTTCAGAGAGACAGGGATGGAGGGAGAAAGGGATGGAGAAAAACATCGATGTGATTGGTTTCCTTTTGCATGCCCCTAACTGGGGACTTGGCCCTCAACCCCGGCAATGTGCCCTGACCAGGAACTGAAGGGGCACTTTTCAGTTCATAGGCTGGCACTCAATCCACTGAGCCACACTAGCCAAGGCAGAAAAAATTTGCAAGTGCCCATATCATGTAGAGGTATATAATGAAGCATTTACAGTAAAAGTCTATATAACATTTGACATTTACTTCAAACTAATTGGATGTTGAAGAGTATAAAACTGGGTGGGAGTAGAGACTAAACGGGATGATGGGTACATGGGAGTTCATTATAATATTTTCTCCACTTTTTTATGTTTAAAATTCACAGAATAAAAAAAATGTAAAAAAAGAAATAGAGAGAACACAATGTAAGGAATGCCAAAATCTATGGTTAAGTAAGCCAAAATGGAGAAGATGGAACCCAGAAGGGTAAATCTAATACTCAAAATCACTCTTGGCCTAAGGGCATTTGTCAATCCAGAGGAATCAGCTGCAAACTGAGCTGTACTTCTACAGCCTTGAAGGACTAAGCTCACTAAAGTCAAGGCACAGGGTTTGCCAAAAGTGGGAACTCATATAAAGCAAACCCCACCTTGAACTAGTAATACAAAGTCCAATGCTTTCAAGGTAAGAGTTCATTTGCAGTCTGAGGTATGGGGCCCTTGGGCATAGAACTGGGATGAGACTAGTCGCAGAAGAAGAATACCCTCAGGTACCTGTGAAAAACAAATGAAAGATGTCTCTACAGGAAGATATCATTCTAATCTCTAATCCCTTGTACAAAAACACTACAGGTATCCAGTACATGACCAAATATAACCAGGCACACAAAGAAATTAAGCAACATGATGAAAATGCAACGGAAAAAGGAGGTAACAAAGACACACAAAAACTTCAAATACTGGAATCACCAGACACGGATTATAAAACAAAGTTTGCTGAATTTAACACCTGAATAATATTGGAGAGAGCCCAGAAATAAACCACGTCTCTATGGTCAGTTAATATTTGAAAAAGGGGGCAGAAGCATCAAACGGAGTAAAAAATAGCCCCTCTAACAAATGGTGCTGGAAGCTCTGGAATTGTACATGCAAAAAAATGAAACTATACTACCAACTTACACCATACACAAAAATAAACTCAAAATAGATAAAGGACTTAACTATAAGTTGTGACACCATAAAAGTCCCAGAGGAAACCATAGGCAGTAAAATTTCAGATAACCCAGACAGCATTATTTTCACTGATACATCCCCTACAGCAAGGGATATAACGGAAAGAGTAAACAAATGGGACTACATCAAACTAAAAAGCTTCTGCACAGCTAAAGAAAACATCAACACAATGGAAAGGGAACTAACTGTATGGGAAAACATATTTGCTAATGATACCTCAAACAAGGGTTTGATCTCCAAAATATATAAAGAACTCACACAACTGCACTCAAGGAAGACAAATAATCTAGTTAAAAAATGGGCAAAGGACCTGAACAGACACTTTGCTAAGGAGGATATAGAGGGCCCATAGGCATATGAAAGGATGCTCAGCATCATTAGCCATCACAAAGATGCAAATTAAAATCCTAATGAGATACCAATTCACACCAGTCAGAATAGCCATCATTAATAAATCAACAAATCAACAAACAACAAGTGCTGGTGAGATTGTGGATAAAAGGGAACCCTAGTACACTGTTGGTAGGAATGCAGATTGGTGCAGCCACTGTGGAAGATACTATGGAATTTCCTCAAAAAACTAAAGATGGAACTGCCTTTCGATCCAGGGATCCCACTGTGGGATTTTATCCTGAGAATCAGAATGATCAATTCAAAAGAACCTATACACCCCAATGTTCATAGCAGGGCAATGTACAATAGCCAAATATTGGAAACAGCCTAAGTGCCCATCAGTAAATAAGTGGATCAAAAAACTATGGTACATTTACACAATGGAATACTATGCAGTGGAAAGAAAGAAGGAACTTCAACCCTTTGTGACAGCATGGATGGAACTGGAGAGCATTATGGTTAAGTGAAATAAGCCAGACAGTGAAAGACAAATACCATATGATCTCACCTTTAAGTGGAACCTAATCAACAAAACAAACAAGCAAGCAAAATAGAAGTGGACTCTTGGAAATAAAGAACAAAGTGTCAGTGACCAGAGGGGTGGGGGGAGGATTATACTGGGGGGAGAAAGGGGAAGGGGCAAGAAAAAGAACATAAATAGAGGACTCATGGGCATGTACAATCGGAGGGGACTGATTGTGGGAGTGGGGGGGATGGGGTAAGGCTCAGCAATGGGGAAAAATGCGGGACAACTATAACTGAACAATGACAAAAAAAAAGTATACTTTGCAAAGGCACCCTAGGTATTGCTGCCACTCAGGGTAAAATCCCTGCTCAAGCCCTATAATTCTACTTAAGTTCCTCCAACACGGCAATTTCTAACAAGCACTCCAGGGTCCATAGCACACATCCAGGCTACCACCTGTTTTTGTAAAGAAACTTTATTGGAACACAACTATGTTCATTTGTTTACCCATTATCTATAGATGCTTTCATGTTACAATGGCAAGAGTGAGTATTCTTGACAGAGACCACATAGCCTGCAAAGCCTAAAATATATACACTCTGGCCCTCTATGGAAGAAGCTTGCTGTCTCCTTCTCTACCTGCACTTTACCTCAAATACTGCTTCTGTCTTGGCAAGCTCATGCTCATCCTTCAAAACTCCAATTAGCCCTGGCTGGTGTGGCTCTGTGGATTGAATACCAGCTTGAGAACCAAAAAGTCACTGGTTCGATTCCCCGTCGGGGCACGTGCCTGAGTTGTGGGCTGGGTGCCCGGTGAGGGGTGCAAAAGAGGCAGCCACACATTGGTGTTTCTCTCCCTCTCTTTCCCTTTCAGTAAAAAATAAATAAATAAAATCTTTTAAAAAATGTCAATAATGTCAAAGTCAGAAAAGCTCTGATTTAAGGGAATTGATTTGAACTGGAATATCTAATTCAGTGTCAGAAAACAAATGAGTTAGAAAGAAAAACCAACCAAACAAACAAAAAACTCCAATTAGCATCACTTCTGTGAAGCTTGAACTGGGTTAGCACCCTTTTAAATTTTTTTATCATCTTCAATAGTTTCCCTATATTACCCATCATTTTTTATTCTAAGATGTCTGTAATGACTGCCCCTCCACTGGGCTGGAAGCTCTATGAAGACAACAGATTTATCTTGTTTACCACAATGCCTGTTTCATCGCATGCATACATTCAATATTTATTCAATGAATATCTCTTCCACTCTGTATACTGTCCCCCATTTTGTCAAATTTCTCATTGTCCCACTCTATTAAGGGAATTCTAAATCCAGAATCTGTGGGTGTATTTGGAATCTCATCTTGTGTCACCCACACATTGGATATGCACACTATTTGAGTTCTTCGTAAGTCAATACTGAAATAACACTAAGATATACTAAAATGATAGGGCTGATGATAAAGTCCTAAGAAGAGCCTCACCTAAACCTGCCTGCATATTGACATCAATCCATTAAATCAGTAGTCTTTGATTAACACTCCAACTCTAATTATGACATTATCCATCCTACATTTTCCATCTTGTCTAAACAGATTTTATAACAGTTTCCACTTCTCTGCAGCATTTTCTTACCTGGCACCACCTTTACCCAAGCAGAAAAGAACTAATAATCACTCTCCCATCTTTCTCACAACTGTACCTCTTCTCACCTTCCATACTATAATATAGTAATATTTACAAGTCTGTCCCTGCTCTTGGAGCTTTTGGAGAATAGAAGCTTACTTAACTTTGAATTCCGAGCTTACCACAATGCCAAAAATTTAGCTGGAACTAAGAAAGGAATGACTAAACCATTTTGCAATTCAAACACACTAAAATTATGGCATTTTCTATTTCTGCCATCATAGTTTTCCTATACAAAATATAAAAATCTTTTAACTATCCTTACCTTTAGCAAAAAGGAAATAGCGTAATTCAATAGAGCAGGGTGATGGACTAAATTTAAACTGGTTTTATACTTTGCAACTCCAATTTTCTTAAAGACTTCTGGATCAAAATATGATCCTTTCTGAAAGGGTTTGGATGTCCATAGGCAACGAACCATGGCTGTCAAATAGTAATTATATTCTTGATAGGTCTTGCTGCTGAATATGAACTCTGATTTTATCTGTTGGGAAAGGGAATAAATGTCATCATCACTTATTCTCCCTTCCCTTCTCATTCCCCAAAGATCACATATATCTACACTCAATTTTTAAGCAATGGTGACAACACAGGTTTATCATCCATACCTTTAGTACCAACTCATTTTTCTTTGCAGCTATCAAATTATTACGGTATCTAAAAGGATGAACAAAAAAATGAAATGTTTAATATTAAAAGCCTTTGAAATGTAAACATAAACAAAAGTATGCACTTTAAATATGTACATGTACACATATACAAATATCCAGCTGTCTAGTTAAGGTTGTAAGTCTTTTATAATACATTCTCCTCAAGAAATAAAAACCATTAGAGGCTCAAATAATGAGTTGTATATTTAAGATATGCACTTGAATATATGTAAATTATACTTCAATAAAAAGGAAAAATAAAAAAAATTATTTTAATGTTTCACTATTAAAGTTAATAGAGAATCAAAAGCAGTCAGTCACTAATACAGAACATATTATATTAATGTGAAAAAAGGTGCAGAAGGAAAAAGGGGAAACTTAAAATGTAATCTTTTTATCATGCCTGAGAACTATTATCTAATTCGTTTTTAAACATTTTAACTTTGGCACATAGTCCTGCAAGTTATGCCAAAGAAGTCTATACTTAAGGACTTTAAAAAGAGTAATTTCAGTCCGTAAGTTAAAGAAATAATACTTAACAGTTTCATATAATTGGCAACAGATCCCTTAATCTCCCAGAAAATGTTCTTTTCACCAGAAAAGCTATGTAGATCTAAATCAGATGTCAGCAAATGACTAATTTTTCTTTAAGATACAGTGATGAAAATTAACAATGGTGAGTGCAGCAGTACCACTGCACAAAAGATCCTTAACTAAAAATTTTTACTCTATATGCCCCACAGTGATATTAAAAAATACACAGTTAAAATAGCTTTATACTGGAAGGTCATTCCCAAAAGAAAGCCGTGTTTCCTACTTCATAGTCCCTAGCAGAAAAAATGGATAATAATTTTATTGTGTTTAATACATTATTGCATTATATGTTTAATGTGTTATATGCAATAAATGTATTGTATATTTAAAATTATAATTAATTATATAGTAAAAAATAAAGATAAAATTATAATGTACTAATTCACAAAATGGTAAAAAGGCTTTGTACCTGTGCATAATGTAACAGAGTTGGTTCAGGATACTCGAATCCACACTGAGGAGTGCAAGATAGAAGATTCCAGGAGGAAACAACACCACTAATGGAAGGTTATAATTTATATATATGTCAGACACCTTTTGGAGAGAATATAACATCAGTATACAGATTATTCCTCAGAAGCTCCAAACAAGTTTACTAAAAGAATCATCAGTAGAGAATAAGCATGAATATAACATCAAGTTGGGGTGTGCCTGATTCATCAATAGAGTAGCCCCAAGCCTGCTTAAAAATGTACCTCACCAAATATCAACCTTATCATAGTAGACTATTTTTAGATCATTAAATGTTTTTTTCCTGGGGGGAGATCTTAGAGTTGGGGAAAAATAGAGCATTTCTTTAAGTTCCATAAATATTGATTTATACTATTATGTAGCTGTCAATGTGGAAAACAAAAGAGCATGCAGGAAGCCAGGAAAACAGATTAGTGACTACTTCCTGAATATTAGTTCTGTCCAGGCCAAATACTATAGAATAGAAGATTACCAGAATAATAAGTACTGGGAGAAAAAACCCAGTTGAAAGGTGGGAGCAGAGAGCTGAAGAAATAAGAAGGTACTTTTGACCTTTTCCAGGGGATGGGGACATATAAAGGATGAGCAAAAAGTGATGCTAGAGACAGACTTCTGTCTAAGGCCAGCATTATTCAGGAGAATGTCTTTTAAAGTGGTACCTGGAATTTTCAAAAAAAAATTTGTTTTCCCACTAGGTTTTATGAAAGTCACTTATTCAGATGAGAATATAATCATTAACTTTAAAATGTGTAGCTTATTTTAACTATGCTAATAATGTCATAGACCAACTTAAGGATTATAAATAAAATTTGAAATAACAAACAAGTGAAGCAGAAATCCATCACAAAAATCTAAACAGGGTAAATGGGATATATAGCACCTTCTCATAGAAATCCAAAACAAAGTGCAGCAAGAAAGTACTGTTGCTTTCCAAGCGCAATGCATTAGTGGACAGCCACCCTACATAGTGAATTAGTTCAAACACAGACTTCATGGATCCACTGAAAGTTGTCTCTCTGCAACAAGAAATCATGACAATCAGAACCACATTAGCAAAATTCCTAACAATTTCCAAGGCAAAGCTGAATAATATATAACAAAAAACTGTTAGGTATTTCAGAAAATGATCAGTGTTTCAATATATACTTCACTTTTAAATCACAGTGGTTAATCACAAAGCTACACAGCCTTCTAGGGAACCATTAAGATTAATTCATAGAACATCCTCAGCAATCAATCTAGTAAATACCAGACAGATAAAGGATTAAGCTTCAGAGAGACCTTACATAACATTAGATAACAACCAAAGTAGTTAGTATATATTGTCCAGCAACCATAGCTGTCAGCAAATTAGTTACAAAGTATACACATCAAAACTCAGTTTTGCCTGAATTCCTGACCTAAATGCTGTTAAAAATATTTTCATTTTAATTTAAATGGAATGTAATTCATTCCTAAAACTGAATTAATAAATTTTGGGGCATTTTACATTGTTTTAGTAAAAGCCATTTTTGTATATTTTATATTCTTTCTAAATCATTGAACTGTGTTTCTTTAAATCATGGGTATAACTGCTCAGTTCATCCATCTAATCATTCCTGTCCTTCAATCCACTGTTGAGTACCTAGAAATGTGATTTCATAGCTTTACACACTGATCTTGGTTAACCTGGGATATTCTTTTAACTACCAGCTTTTTACTATTGAAGCTATGGGCCCTTATTTAATAAAGAATGTGACTGATAATGTAGGAAATTTAACACTGATTAGATATTTGAAGATATTCAGAACTATTAATTTCTTAGGTGCTATACTGGTATCATTTTTCAACAGTTGAAATTACGTCTGGGTTTTGCTATAAAAAATCTAACATGGATGAGGAGGTAAGTGAGAGGTGTTACAGATAAAAGAAGTTAACCATGTGTTGATAACTGTTGAAGCTGGATGATGGGCACATAGGAGTAATATACTATTTTCTTTAATACAAAGTTTTAAAAACAATAATGTGGCTGATAACAGAATATAGGAGAAGCCAAAGATTTTAGGTATAGTAAAAAGAACCTAATTAGGCAATTCCTTGAAGTTCAGTCTTTTACTTTCAATTTGAGAGTAAAGCACACAGTGTTAACAATCATCAACATAATGAAACATTTGATGCTCTTTTTTATTCCAAAGTGAAAATAAATTAATGTATATCACCAAAATACATCAGAGAAACATAAAAAACAAAAGTGTACAGTAAAATTACAGATTTTCCTAGCCAGCATCAAAATTGACTTTACATATACAAGAATACATTTTATAAAGTGAGCTAAACTGAATGGAAGCCAAAGTTAAAAGTTCTAAAAAAGTTCTAAAAAATAACAAAGTCTTTCAGAAGAACAGGACTAAGCATTTACATAAAACAATTAGGTCTCATGCTACACTATTAAACTTTATATGCAAACATTTGTATACAGACCGCCTCTTGTGGAGGTTTGTAAGATAACTTACAGAGAACTGTCCATCACAGTTTTCATGTGGATGTCCATAGAAAGCCACAAAAGCCAATTCTGCAGTAGCTCTTTAAGGTTCTCAAGAACACTACACTGAGGGGGCAAAACAAAAAAAAATCATTTGTAAAACCATTCTGACATACCATATACCATAGTGTTGAGAATTAACCATCTAAAACAGATACTTAGAAGTGGAAGGGATACAGAGATGACTGCATACAATTCAGAACTCAATAATGCCACTCAAATCTGATTAGTTTCCAGGAGACAGAGAAATGCAAACATAGTACAAGTTTATTTTGCTATTTGCTCTACTGGACTGTCCCTAGCTTATCAGCCAACGAACAGACTCTAAATTAAATTTATTTATAACATATATTATATCATCAAATACAACATCGCCCCCATTCTTTACTGTCTCTCCTCAGAGATCTGTTGAAGTTGCTACAGGTAAGAGTTTGCCACTCTTTTCACCTTGTACCTACAACTACAATTTACTCCTTTGTTCATGGTGATAAAATTTATCTTGTCTTCTGTGATGGTAGAAAATAAACAATTCTAGTCTTTCTTTTCTCAGGCTTTGCCTTGATTTTCCAAGACCTCATTGACATAAACAGCTGTGACAGAAGTGCGCTTATGGTGTTCATGAGGATAAATCCTAATATTTACAAATTTGAAAGCACTCCAAACAACCTCAAAAACTAATACAGAAAAGCTTTCTTAAACATCCTTAATAAATAACTGCCTAGATACTACCTAAGCATCTTCAACAATAGTGTGCTCACGGACACTTCATAGAAACAGTTCAATTAATATTTTAGAAGGTAAATGAAAAACGGGATATGTATTGAGTTGGCCAAAAACTGTTTTGTTTTTTCAGTAAAGTAAAAGACACATTTTTCATTTTGACCAGTAACTTTATTGATTTGGATATTCTGAGTATGTCAGCTATCTCCCACTATTGGTTTCTAGTGTGTAGAGGCCAGGGGTGCTGCTAAACATCCTCCAATGCATAAGACAGCCCCACAATGAAGAATTATTTGGCTAAAATGTCAATAATACCAAGTAACTTCACAAACCACTTTAGATACATTCAATCAGTCAGGGTGACTTCCCCATACAACACACAAATCTTTTTTGGCTTTTCACTTGTGTTTTGCCATTCTTAAAATAATAAAGCATAATATACTGAAAATGTTGCATATTTTGTTCCATCTTCAATATTAAAATGGCTGCACAAAAATTCACCAATTTCAGTAAGTTTTTTTAATGCATGCTGATACGACAGCTGTCACAATACAATCTAACAAAATTGTTTTGAATGAAGTTACAGACAACTAAGCACTAGTAGTCATCCTATGGGAAAAACTAACTTTTGCAAATCCAATATAAATTCAGTGACTGAAAGTAACCTCACAGGTTGATCCTATCATAAATTCCTAATTATGAAGGTCATGATGAGTAGTCACACCCCAGGCTTGTAATTTCATTAGTAAAATTTTAAAAAAGATTTTACTTATTTATTTTTAGACAGAGGGGAAGGAAGGGAGAAAGAGAAGGAGAGAAACATCAGTGTGTGGTTGCCCCTCGTGTGCCCCCTGGTAGGGACCTGGCCTGCAACCCAGGTATGTGCCCTGACTGGGAATCGAACCAGCAACCTTTTGGTTTGCAGGTCAGAACTCAATCCACTAAGCCACACCAGCCAGGGCTCATTAGTAAAAGTTTTTTAATCCTGCAGAGGTCATGACTAATCTGAGAAATACAAATAAACTTTTTTCTTAAATATTGTTACATATATCAGCCACAAAGACTCAAAGTCACGACTTGCTGTGCATTTGTATGTGATTAATGTTAAGGCATGATGTTTAAGTCCTCAGTTTGGTTGTAATATGCATTTCATAAGGGTGTGTGATACTCGATAGTAAATTGTATCTGAGATATTATAAACTTTAAAATCAGTGCTGTGCTTTTTTCCTCATTTACAGTTGAAAATGGCTAAACAAACATACCAATTCAATAATCCAAGAGATGCTGAAGAACTTCAGTGAATGCTACTGGAGTTGCTTATTGAAATATTTTTGCAAGTGTGGTAAAAAGTATTTATGCCTTGAGCATAGATAGCAATACTGTTTGTGATAACTGTTACAAATGTTTTGCAAAGCCAATTGAAGATTCTGATTAATTAATGTTAAAGACATATTTGGTTGTATTTTTTAGCAATATCCCTGTTTCCATTATTTGAAAAGAGTCTTTAACCTTTATGTTTTTATATTTCTTCAATAATTTCTAGATTGTAACTGAAGAGAAATTTAAAAGTCATATATTTTATTATATAAACATAATAAATGCAAACTTGTAGGTTTTTTTTTAAATTTCAGCACATCCTAGTAATGAATGTATCTCTCAGATACATGTGATGTGCACTGCAATTTTTTTACAGCAACCTCCACGGGGTTAAACAAGTACGGACTAGTATTCTTATGCATCTAGGTTTACATATCTTCAAAATGCCAGAGATTATAGCCTTTTTCAGACCACTCTCAAGAAAGCACATCATCTTGTTAATTATCCTGTAATCCAATTTCTATGTTGCTTTCTCCCACCTTCATGTAATCTTCTTTACGTTCCCTCATTAATTCCAAATGCATAAAAGAAACTGCAAAACTGTCACTCTGGAGCATTAGATCTTGCTTCCCAGCATGTAATCAGTTTGACTCACATAAACTTACACAAATTCTCTATAGGTCTGGACATTTCAAAAAGATATTGGCACATCATTTTGAGGTATGAATGAAAGTACCTTTAGTCACCTACCCTTTCTTGTACTCTATACTTTTCTGTGCTTCTTTCCCCCTTTCGTTGATCCCATCCCGTCCCAAATCTTTCAACTGCAGTTTCCAGAACCTCTAACCCATGGTAATCTAAACCTACACCTTCATAATCTTTAAAGAATGCTTTCTCTGTCTTCTTACTCTCATTGAATTCTGACTCTCCCTCTCCACCCAGCCAGGGTACTGCTTCCTCTAAACACATTTCCACATCCCAGTTCAACACTTGGAGGTAAGCAGTGCCCCAGCTCCTTACTGCTAATATGGAAACAGAATATAAGCCCCTTCTTTTATTTTTTTAACTTTTATTTTTTATTTTTCATAAATTACTTTATTGTTTAAAAGGTAAATATAAAGAGAAATAAATCTCTCTTTAAGAAAGGAGTCAGCCCTGGCTAGTGTGGCTCAGCTGGTTGGAGCAACATCCTATAACAGAAAGGTTGTGGGTTCAATTCCCAGTAGGAGCACACACCTAGGTTGTGGGTTCATACATGTACAATTCTCAGACCAGGCACATACTGGAGGCAACCAATCGATGCTTCTCTCTCACATCAATGTTTCTCTCTCTCCCCTCCTCTCTAAAAATGCAATGAAAAAAAGTCCTAAGGTGAGGATTAAAAAATTAAATAAAAAGAGAGTCAGCTTTAAAAAGATATAAAAAATAAATGGATCTTCTATTTAATCAGGTGCCACAGGAAAAAAAAAGTGCCTTGTTTTAAAATATTTACAAATATTTTTTGACCTACAGAATCTCATTAGCAGTAACATTAGCTAAATTTGTTAGGCTACTATCAAAGCCCCATTTCAGATTGCACTTTCCTATAGTCAGTTTTTCTCATGAATTTGAGTACACTTTGGTTTTTTAATACAACACAAAAGCTATCCATCTTCAACACTATTTCCGAATTATTACTCCTCCTTCCTTATATAAAAATCCCTTTCTCCTGTGATGTTTACACTATCCAACTATACTACCTTTTACTGTTTATCTTTATATATCTCTGCTATCAGCCTGTTGGAAAGTCATCTACATTCACTGAAAATCTTGGCATGCTCCACCTCAAGTCCTGGCGTCAACACCACAGTTGTCAGAGTCCATGAAGATGTTCCACCCAATACTTCATTCATCTTCACAGTTCTTTGACCTCAAAACAGATAACCCTTACCTTCAGTCTACCTTAGTTATGCACCCACACACTAAACTTTATCATAATGCAAATGGAACCACTACCAAAATCTATTACCCTTTCTTTGTTATGACCTCCTATTTTTCCAGCTTTCTCACACCATCAACTCCAACTAGTTATTCTTGCTCTTTAACTTCAGAGGCATTCAATCCCCTGATTGTTCATTTTTTAATGTCACTTTTCAGTCTTTTCCTGGCCTCACCTACCTATCTACTCTATATCTCTATCAAACTTATCTACCATGACTGCCATTCACTATACCTACCAGCAAAACCCTAACTGATTCAACCTCATAACTCACTTTGTTCTTACATCTGAGCTGAAGGAAAACACACAACTATACAGATTGGCACCACTCCAAATTCATGGCCTTCAACTTCATCTGAGCCCTAAATGAATCTTAATAACCCTTTCACCTGTCTTTAATCAGTTCTGTCTCCTATTTTTCTCAGTGGATGTTCTAGGCACATAATACCTTTGTGAACCCCCTATTCATTTCTGACCTCTACAACTCACTTATTTTAAGAAATTTAACATTTTTAGACACAAAGTATTTTAATTTCTTGTCCTTTCTTCCAACTATACAAATATATGAGGGTATACCCTCCTATCTGTAAATCCTTGTCCACAGGCTTAGAGAATAAGTGGTATCTGGCAACCCCTCAAAATCCATTCAAGCAAATCCCTCTATCTACTCTTAAACCAGTGCCTTCAAGTATTCTCTGAAACACTATTTATTCCCCATCCTTCCTCCATTTTCAAACTCTCCCTCTTTTCAACTGGCTCCTATTGATAAACATGCTCAGGTTTCTAACATTCTGGAGACAAAAACAAAAGACAAGAATACCCACAATCTTCCCTTGATTCAAAGTCCCACTATAGCTATCTCTATACTTCATCTTTTCAACCAAACTTTTTGAAACATAGTCTATACTCATTAACTTATCTTCACTTCTCATTGACTCCTCAACTCCCACAATCTGGCCTCTACCACACTCCCATGAAACTATTCATAAAAGCGGTTAAAACCTCTGCATTTTCAATTGCAAAAGAAAATTTTTTGGTCCTTATCTTTCTGGGCCTTGAATATACAGCAATAGTATTTCTCTCCTTGATATCCTGTATTGTTTGCTTGCCACTACTGCTGTCCTGGTTCTTTTCATACTTTAAAAAAATTAAATTTATTTGAGTAACATTGGTTGATGACATTACATTTTAGTACTTCTTGAAAATGTTCCTTCATAGACTCTCCTTTTCAGCTGAGAATTAAATGAGTAGTCTCGAGTTCTGTCCTTGGCCCACTGTCTATTTCCCTTTCTCCATTCGTTTCTCTCCCCACCTCACACTCTCAAATATAAATACATATGTATGTGTGTGTGTGTGTGTGTGTGTGTGTGTGTATACATGTACATTTACTTATTAGGCTGGACCATATAAAATTGCTAATTGTCAAACATCCGTTATCTACAAAAATGTATTTTCATATGATTCAACCTAATATCTATAGATAAGTAGCTCTCTACACTGATGGAATAAGAGAAGAAATAATAGACAACCATATTAGAAGCTCAGAAGAGAATCACAGCATCTGTAAAATTAAATCCTGAAACTATATTAGCTGGAAGAAGTGGTGTGTATTGTCATATGAATGTCATTGACCCAGTAGTAAAATCACAAATGATGTAAGTAACTTCAAATCCAGGCTAATGTGACAGGTAATTTTAAAATGTCATTTGATTATGACAAACTCCAGGACAACATATTTTTTTCCTGAAAATGTGGCCAACAATAGGTGATTTAAGGTGAAGAAAAATTTATAAAGGAAACATTAGTTATACTGTCACTCTTTTGGAATAGGAATAACCATTCTATAATAAAGTGGCTCTCAATCTCTGGTAGAACTCCTGGAAGCCACAGTGGGTTTTTTTTTTAAGAATTCCCCAAAATAGTAACATAATTTATCATATAAGGTTGAGATAAATTTATTAGCAGAAAACAACTATATTATAAATATATAGAATGAGTGTCAGAGGAAGTTTTGATTTCTTTGGTCATTACTGTATTCCCAAGGTCAAAAAGGGTGTCTACCACATAATGAATGCTTAATAAATAATGGTGAAATGAATAAGTGTATCCACAAATATATCAACAACAATCGAACTAAATATGCTTAAGTATTTCTCACTTTGTTTTTCCTAATACTCACTTGCAATGTTTATTCCCTTTGTCATCTGCTATAAGAGGAAACAGTTTTAGAAAACTACATAAAACAAAACCACTAAAAACAGAAAACTAGCATTAACTTTGATTTCAGGGATGCAGTACCTCAAATCTAGGTCCAACAGAATCCTATTAGAAAACCATGACATAATGTGGGTTTGGAATCATGTACCACTGGTCATAGGATAATATTCCCTACTGAATGTAAGCAAGATAGTTTTTTTTTTTTTACCTTGAAATAAATGGTTGATGTAAAGAAGAGCTGTGCCAGACGGTCAAAAATAAATGGTTTCACCTCTAGGAATGAAAAAAAAAAGATTATTCAGAATCCTTTTAATTAATACATTGAATTATATATTACTCCAAATTTTCATGATACATACCAGAGAAGCTAGTAAAAGGAATCCAGCTCACAAGTTGAAGGAACTGTGGTCGACAACAGAAGCCATCCCAGAGAGGAAGGCTCTTGTATAGGAATGCTTCACAAGAATAAAACCCCTCCTGTAACACAAGTTCATTACAAAACTTTTTATGGAACTCTTTAGTCTTAACTGCTCTCTAAAGAACCAGTTTAGAGAAGAATATAGCAAAAACTGCTATATTCTTCGATATAGCAGTTTTACTCTTAGACTAATTTTTTCAGTGATATAATTAAAATCCTTGTGTTGGTATAAGACTTCCCCATAATGAGGCTCAGATGATCAATATTTGGATATATTACCATATTTAATGAACACAGTTTTCAAATACCATAAACTTGATCAATGGGAAAGATGGCAAAAAGTCAACTTATGAAGTAGTTTTAAAGACAGAAAAAAATGTATTCTTTTGGAGTACATGCAGTCATGCAGTCAACAAAATGTATGCAATGCTATATATATAATAAGAGTGAAATTTCATTAGAGGCCACAGATCAAATCCCAAATCTAGGCAGCTCCACCTGGACTGAGTGTCTATGCTGTTTACATTTCCACTAAAGTGAGGATAAGGCTTTCCTTTTGTCCTTTATTGCCCTGAGCCTTAAGAGCCTTAAAAGACCAGAACTCTATTCCAGACCTCTTGACAACATCAGTTCTCCCCACAATCTTATCCATAACAGTTAAAGCCACCATCTATATTATTGGCCCTAATCTGCATCTCAAGCCCAATTCTCATTTCTGCACTCTAGAAGCCTTATTTAACTGTCTACTACTTATGACCTCTCAGATGCCCCACAGGTATCTTTTAAATCAAATTTATCTTTCCTTCCAAGCCTGCTTCTCCTATATTCCCTTTCTCATTGAATGCCATCATCATCCTCCCAAGCAGGAAACCTAAAAAGTCAACTTAAATTTATTCCTTTCTCCACACCAGCATCATCCACGCTCAATTTCCAATTCAATAGTTTCACACCCAATCCTAAAGATTTATTCAGCAAACATTTATTGAGTATCTCCCTTGTACCAGGCACCAAGCTGAACACCTGACATAGGAAGAAAATTCAGACGTGGTTCCAACCCGCCAGGAGGTCATAATGTGCAGAAAAATAGATGCTGAAAGTCATGATACAGGTAACCACAAGAGAGCTAAGGGGGCACACTGAACAAGCATTTAACCCATACTGGAGTGCTGGGTAAAGGCTTCCTCATAGAGCTGATACCTGAGTTGCAGCTTCAAATACAACTCAGGGTTATCCAGGCCAAATAATTGGCTGGAACATCTCAACATTTTAAAAATGTTTGTTAATTATAAGAATACAAGTAGTGAACCCATGAGGTTGATCATAACTGGCTAATTCAATCAACTGAATATATCCATTTACATCTTCAGTTTGTTCTTTTAAATTATAGTCCATTCTCTCTTATTTGCATAATTTAATAAATAATTTTCTTCAAATTCAATCATACCGAGACAAATGTCAACTCAATTCAGCTCTATTTATGAGTTTTGAGTTGAGCAAATATGGTTTACAAAAGATGTCGAGCACTGCAGAAAAGGTTTTCAATGGATAAGCAAATAAATTTTATTAAGAAGTGGTAGAGTGTGCATTAGTGGACTCTTACTTGTAAGAAGCACTCTGCCTTGATGATAGTGTCCAGGAAGCTGGTAAATTCTTTTCCACACTGATAATTATTCATCTTGTACCAAATACATTCTGCGGCATAAATATTAAACATAAGTATCTGGCAGCACAGCAATAAAAACTACATAAAACATAATTACCATAACTATAAAGTAACAAATACATGGCAAATAAATATAAATAAGCCATCAATCTTTTACACTGTAGTCAACTCACACTACAGACTGCAATAAGTATGTGGAGGTGCTAGTGAGATATTCCTCAAAAACCTGGTAATATAGGGGGAAAGCTTATAGTGAAAAAAATAAACTGCTAAAATTTACATATAATCAATGTGAACAGCTTTATGTCACACAGTGATCCAAGAACTATAAATATATGAATTTAAATTTATGAATGCCCTAAACTTCAATTAGGGTGACCTGGGGAAATCTAAGAGTGGTAGGACATTAGTAAGTGGAAATCCAATTAACTGTATAAGACTCGAGCAGAAAATGGAGAGTTAATATGGAATTGACTAAAACTGATTATTTTAAACACTCCAAGAGTCAGGAATTGCTGATTCAGGAAAGAAACAATCTGGTGACCAAAATACTATCTTTAGAGAAATTGACTCTGTGGAGGAATGAAATGATCAAGATTTACTATGGCCTGGATGAAAAACTCCCTCACTGCCCTTTCCTTCAATTCTATAATTAAGAAAATACACTGCTAAAATTTACATACAATCAATGTGAACAGCTTTATGTCACACAGTGATTTTTTTCATTTCGCTCCCATATATACTCATAGCAAAGAAGAGACACTCTAGTTGAGAGACATGAACAATTTTGGTCACCAGAATCACTTCTGGTATGAAATAATAAGGTGACATTCTGGCTTGTACAACATCTCCTGAGTTTTGTTAGCACTGATCTGTAGAATCTGTGGCTTAATGGCTGGATGTAGAAAGATGAAAAAGCTGTGGATTGTGATGGTCATCAAAGTGGAGCCACCCCATGAGTTTTGGTGGCCATCCAGCAGTATTTCCTTACCAACACACCTCCTTTCTTACTGCCTTTAAAATTGCAACAATGGAAGCACTGTTGTAATTTTATGATTATTATCCAAGCAATAATTACATCTCCTCCTGTCTAGAATTTGGCACACTTATAAAAGGAACCCATTTGTAAACTCTGTTGTTCCTTCCTTAATCATCTAACTTTTAAGTATCAGTTTTTACCTTCTTTTTTTTAAACACTTTTTAAAAGAGTTTATTGATTTATCTTTAGAGGGGAAGGGAAGGAGAGAAGGAGAGAAATATCAATGTATGGTTGCCTCTTGTACGTCCCCTGCTGGGAACTGGCCTACAACCGAGGTATGTGCCCTGACTGGAAATTGAACCGCAGTTGTTTGGTTCATAGGCCCTCGCTCAATCCACTGAGCTACACCAGCCAGGGCAGTTTTTACCTTCTTGTAATGTTTGATTCAACCAATGATATAGCCTCAGTAAGACTGATTCATCTCTGACACAGTTAATATAGTGAAGTAGCAAAGAACTGTTCAGCACTGCACCCATCTGAGAAGGCAGCTGCAAAGACAGAACAATTAGTCAACTTAAGTATGTAAAAAGTAGGTCAGAGCAACAAGCAAATCATCAGATAGGAAATATATAACAGAAAGAAAGGCTGTCAAGAACAAATGGAAAATGCAAATCAGCACATGGTTCAGTCACATACCTCTAAGCAATGAATGTTCTGCAAGAGTTGAGGGAAGCTTTTAAGCTGTTCTATCGGAAATGGTGTATTGCTACACAGATAATCAGAAAGACACATTCCTTTTTTTCCATATTCTTTGCTGTGGCTACTAGAATTTAGCACTGGTATAAGTGAGTGAGAATTCCATTTCTAAAGGAGAAAGACAATAAAATAATCAATGGACTAAACAGGCTACAAACTATAAATGTAAAAGAAGTTGCTAATGTGGTTCAATGAATCGAGTTTGAATGTGGGTTGCATAGAATCTTAGGTAATAAAACGATATTTAAAAACCTATAATCTCTTCCAACATACAAATGGTTATTGTTTGGATTTAATAAAAGAAGCCATCACAAAATCATCTGAGGTTTTAGATACTTACTCTTTTTCTAGGACGGACATTGGCTGGACCTAACATCAGCTTTAGAGGTTCTGGAGAAAGTCCCTGATTCCTTTGCCTCACAGCAACTAGAGCTGTCTTCCACAGGTTCTCTGAATTCTTGAAATATATCTATAAATTTGGATGTAAAGTACATGAGTGTAGGTACCTGTAAGTTGAAGCAACATAAAATCTAAAACTCATTAATTGAAACTATATTGATTATAAAATACCCATGCAAATCCATTTAAAGATTTTTTTATCTATTAAGAATCTATTAAATACATTAAATGGAATCAAAATGAAGTGCCCATCCCTAAAAAAAAAAAAAAAAAAAACTTCCCAGAAACAGTGCCAGAATACTAGATCTTAAAACAGTATGCTATAAACAGTTCAGCCCAAATTGGTAAATTAATAAAAAATAACATATTTCAATCTCAATATAATTAATCACTCCTCAATCACTTACCTTCTTCTTTATAGGCAAAGATATAGAAATCAAAGTGGGAACAAAGAACTTATATAGTGACAACAAAGCATGGAGATAAGGCTGCATTCCCTGAAATAAAAATGAGAGTTTTTTAATTTTCAATTCTGTGGTCAATAAGAAAAAAGAGAACAATAGAATAAACAAATTAAACAAACACATATTCAGACCCTCATTTTACTATGCAATATTACTATGGGAAGATGCTACAGAAAATCAAGGAATAAATAACCAGGCATTTGAAACAATTATCATAAAACAACCTTCGCCAACTTATTATCTTCTCTTTTATGAGCTTTGTCCCTATTTTAATTATTCCTTATATTTTCTCTCTGTTATTTACCCATGCCTTAAGCTTACCAGTGATACCTGCTAGAATAGCTTACTCACACTTGGAGCATATTCAGGATTCAAAGTTCACTCATTCTTTTTTTTTTTTAAGATTTTCGAATTTACTTTTAGAGAGGGAGGAAGGGAGGGAGAAGAGAGGGAGAGATACATCGATCAGTTGCCTCCTGCACACCCCCAACCAGGGACCTGACCAGCAACTCAGGCATGTGCCCTGACAGGGCATTAAACTGGTGACCTTTTGGTTCACAGGAAGATGCCTAACTCACTGAGCCACACCAGTCAGGGATACTCATTCTTGATTTGAACAGGAATGCAGGAAGTCAAAAAGGGAAACCAGGAAAATAGAGCAAAGGAAATATTAATCTATTGTTATCATAATTCCTAAAAAATGGATTAGGAAATCTAACAATTGGTATGTGGTAACCAAGCTGCTTCCTGTAACTGAAACAAGTCTTAAGAAAAACATTAATTTTACAATGACAGAAGTCATTACTGCTGGATATTTGCGTTTGATATATCTGGCTCTCTAGAGAAAGCATACCACTAAAATGAATTCTAAGGAAGTAACCCAATTATTTTGTTACATTACACTTTTGTTGACTCAAATACCATACAAAATAAGGAAGGCAGAAAATGGGGCTTAGAAATATAGTGTTCCTGTTTTATAACAGCTTATTTAAATTTATTTTAACAAAACCGAAATGGCCTAATTTATCTATGCTGAAGCATTTTCTGGTCTCTGTACTCGTATCAATTAGTATCAAAGTGTTTGCTTTCAGCTGAAATGTTTTTTTGATAGAGCAATTACTTAGTAATAGAGAGAACTTTAGAATTTACTGCCTACTTAACTGAACTGTATTGTTACAAAGTGAACACTTTTTTCTTTTTAAAAAGGAGACTTTCTATAGCTCTGTGACTATACTAAAAGGCATTGAACTATACACTTAAAATGGGTGAGTTTTATGGTATGTGAATTGTGTTTCAATAAACCTTATATTAAAAGTCAATTATTTTTGTAAAATGTTAAACATGGTATACTAAACATATTACATGTTTAACTCTGAGTCCTCCTAAAGCCCCACTAAAAAGTAATGGAATTAAGAAGGCATAAACACAAGTTTAAGGTGAACGAGAGATGAGACAATAGCAAATGAGAGATCTCAAAAAGATTTTGGAACCTAGAATGAAGATGAACAAATAGTAATCAGCTTAGCAGAACAGAGAAAACGAAGCCTAAAGCGGCAATAGGAAAAAGCCTCAAAAGCAGCAGATTCATGCTTGAGAACTCCCAGAAAGACTCAGGAATTTACAGAACCAGATACCTCTGAAAAGCAGAGCTGCAAGAGTGGCAAAAAACAGGAGGATCAGCTGAAAGCGTACATAAGAAGCAGTTAGAACTACAAATTCCTTCACTACACTTACAAGCGAACATGAAGGTTTTACTCTCTGAAGATAAAGCTGGACTTAGACAGCAGGCACAACTGTGGTAGGGTGTACCAGGACTTCTCTCCACCCCCTTCTACTGCATATGTCTCAGAGTTTTAGTAGCCAGGTTCCTATCCTTGTGATGGTCCCCACTTGGTTAGACCATGGGGTGTCCAAGTATTTGACCAATTATTCTGCATGTTTCTGTGAAGGTGTTTTGATGATCTACGCTTAAGTCTATAAGCTTTGAGTAAATAAGATTGCCCTCCATAATGTATGTGGGTCTCATTCAATCAGGTGAAAGCCTGTATGGAACAGAAAGATGAGCCTCCTGGAAGCAAGAGAGAATTCTCCAGCAGAGTGCCTTCAGACTGCATGTGCAACAACAATTCTTCCTGATTCTATAATAGACTGCCTTTGGACTCAAACTAGAATAGCAGCTCTACTGAGTCTCCAGCCTGCTGGCCCACCCTGAAGATTCTGTACTCACTGGCATGTGTAATCTTGTGAGCCAATTTCTTAAAATAAACAAATAACACATGCATACACACCCCCTATTGGTTTTGTTTATGTAGAAAAGCCTGACTAACACCACCTCTAGGCAGGAGACAGAATTTATTTCTGGGAAAAATGACACAGTCACTGGGGGTGTGACTCCCCAATGAAAGATATATTAAGATCCTGCAATGAACAAGTCCTTCTCACGTACACCAGTTTCCAACCACCGTTTTAGTGCTTTACAATTAAATATAAACAAAAAATGTTTACCAGGCATTAGAGAGAAGCCTCTACCATGAAATAAACTAAAGAAAGGAACTCTTGAGGTCACAGAGACAAATCTGAGAATAGAATAAAAATCACAGCCCAAGTTACACAGGCTTGTGCCTGGTAGAGAGAGAGAATCCTATAAACCACCCTTACCAACCATTAAGATAGACCCAACTCCCCCTCCTTTCTGTTGCAAAGATTGCTCTCAATGGGCCCTGGCACTTGTAAAATAATGACATGCTTGCTCTGCTTCCCACCATCCATGTTCGCCAATAGAAGGACAATTCCAACAAATCCAACACATTTGTTAATATGTGTTCATTATGGCTATTACCATTCTATATGTTAGGTTACATGTGAGCATGGCTATGTCTTCTTGGCTTGACATTAATGGATTTGAACAAATTCACCAAAATCTAGCTAATCAAAGCAATTTATGAAATACATCTTTATAAATGAACATTGATAATGGAATAATTTAGTAATGTACTATACAGAATATTGATAATAAAGCCATATAATTAATGTTTGGGTTTAAAATGTTTTTAATTATTTTATTTTTCAAGTACAGTTTTCCGCATTTCAGTAAATTAATGGATCAAAAAACTATGGGTTTAAAATTTTTAGACAATCATGTACAAAATCATACACTTGAACATACAGTTTTTGTTCTACTTAATACAAATCAGCACGATCTTATTTATGGTAAGAATTTTCTTATTCTATTAAAAGGTTTTGGTGTTAACATGCAAAAAAGCACATCGTTTTCACAATTTTTATTAATGTGAAGTAATTTGGACAAAAACATTACTACTAATATACTCTCAGAGCTAAGGGAAAATACAGTATCCATAGAACTAAAACAGGAAGCTATAAAAGAAGATCATTGAATTGTACCAACAGGAAACCTCACACTAGAGAAGCACAAATGTGGACATGTGTTCATGTTTTTTTATTAAATTTGAATGTTTTCAGGTGGGTCATGAAGGTTTCAGGAGTTAGCCATAGGTACTACAACTACCTACTGCTTTGTACCCAAAGCTTCACAGACTTCTGTTACCACACAGGTATACTGGAAATAACAATGCAAGACAGCTATAAGAGCAAGAGATAATGGTCAGAGGGATATACTGAAGTGTAAGTATCCACAAGAGAATACTTTCCTAGATTACACCCAAACACACGCAAAAATAAACTGGTCACTTTATTTTCATAAAATAAAGTAGTTGTTTCTGACTACTCCGGGACACTTATTTTCCAGCCATACCAACCCAGTTCCCCAAACAGTTTCACATCTACACATCTGCTCATGCTATTCCTTCTGTCAGGAGTACTCTGCTCTTCCTTCATGACCTAGTTAAATCCTATTCATCCCTTAAAACAGGAGTGTCAAACTCATTTTCACCATGGGGCCACATGAGCCTCACAGTTGCCTTCAAAGGGACAAATGTAATTTCGACTCCTAAACAGTTAAGAAGTTTAAGAAGTAGTTACAGTTATACAGTCCTAACATTATTTCAGGCATTTGAAAGCAACCACGAGTCTGATGTGGCCCCTGGCGAAAATGAGTTTGACACCCCTGCCTTAAAATGTCTTTCAAGGATCACCTCTCTTCCTTGACCACAGTTTGATTCAGTTTAATTTTGTTGACTGAGTTGCCTAGACAAAAAGTTGCTTGAGAGACTTCTGCCAAGATGAAGGTGTAGGTGGAAGCACTGCACCTTCTCGCATAACCAAGTTTAAAAACAACAAAGTTTTAGCGACAAAAATGCAGCCAAACCACAGAAAATTGAACTACACATAAGTCTGACAACAACAAACCCTTCAGCCAAACTGGTAAGAAGGGCAGAACCAGCAGCAGAGCAGGGTCAGGCAGGAAAGAGCCACCGGACCGACCCAGGTGCGCCTGCAGCTGTGGGCAGATCCCAGGTGTGGAGAAGCGGGCGGACCCACTGAGGGCTGATCGCGGTCACACATTTGCACGCAGATAAACCAGTGAAGGAGCTAGCGGTGAGGGAGCTAGCAGGGAGACAGATGCACAGGCCCCAGTGGCAGGAAGAGGCAGAGGAAACCGCCATTGTCCCTCTCTGACCCCGCCCCCACATACAGCATCACAAACCAGCAACCTGGGTGGCCCCGCCCTGGTGAACAACTAAGGCTCTGCTCCTCATATGTAACAAGCACAAACAGATCAAAACATGGCTCAAGAACAACTCAGAGCCCCAGAGTCAATAAACCTAAGTGATGAAGAAATAGCAAAACTTTCAGATGCACAGTTGAAAACACTGCTGATCAGGATGCTCACAGAACTGGTTGATTTTAGTCATAAATTAGAGGAACATCTGAAGGCTAAACTAATTGAAATGAATGGAAATACACAGGAAACCAATAGTAATGGAAAGGAAACTGGGACTCAAATCAAAGGAGTGGACCAGAAGGAGGAAAAAAATGACCAAACAGAAAAGGATGAAGAAACAAGAATCCAAACAAATGAGGAGAGGCTTAGGAACCTCCAGGACATCTTTAAACGTTCCAACATCCGAATTATAGGGGTACCAGAAGGGGAAGAGGAACAGCCACCAGCGGAAAACTTATTTGAACAAATAATGAAGGGGAACGTCCCCAGTCTGGCAAAGGAAGTAGACTTCCAGGAAATCCAGGAAGCTCAGAGAGTACCAAAGAAGTTGGACCCAAGAAGGAACACACCAAGGCACATCATCATTTCATTAGCCAAGATTCAAATGAAGGAGAGAATCCTAGAAGCTGCAAGAGCTAAGGGGACAGTCACCTACAAAGGAGTTCCCATCAGACTGTCAGTGGATTTCTCAAAAGAGACCTTGCAGGCAAGAAGGGGCTGGAAAGAAGTATTCCAAGTCATGAAATCCAAAGACCTACATCCAAGATTGATCTATCCACCAAACTTTCATTTAGAATGGAAGGGTAGATAAAGTACTTCTCAGATGAGGACAAATTCAAGGAGTTCATCATCACCAAGCCCTTATTATATGAAATGTTAAAGGGACTTACCTAAGAAAAAGAAGATAAAAAAGATGAACAGTGAAAGGACAGCAAACTCACAGTTATTAACAACCACACCTAAAACAAAAGCAAACTAAGAGAACAGCTAGATCACGAGTGGAACCATAGACCATGTGGAGGGTTAGCAACAGGGGAGTAGGAGAAGAAGGGGGGAGAAGGTACAGAAAATAAGTAGCATAGATGATAAGTAGAAAATAGATAGGGGGGAGGGCAAGAATAGTATGGGAAATATAGAATCTAAAGAACTTGAGACACGTGGTCATAAACTAAAGGGGGGAATGGTGGGGGAGGCGGTGGGCAGGGTAGAGGGGAATGAAGGGGAAAAATAGAACTGTAATGGCATAATTAATAAAATATATTTTTAAAAAAAGTTGCTTGAAGGTAATGACTCATTCCATTTTCTATCTCCAAAGCCTAGCTCAATATTTATCACAGAGTACACTGGCTAGTTCTGGGTCTTTGCGGTACTCACCATCTTTGCCTGAAGATCAAGCAGTTTTCTCACACGAAATGGTTTGACTAGAAAAGGTAAAAAAAAAAAAAAGAAAAGAAAAAAGTACTATAAATGTAGCTCATATACCTGCTTCTTACTACACACCAAGAATATAAACACCCTAGTTAAACCATTAAGCAAATGCTTAGATAAAAGTACTAAAAAGTAATTCCCACAAAATTCTGTCATAGAACTAATGCTAATAGTTAACTTAATAAAGGCCAATACAAATGCTAGTTCAACACAGTGAATGTAATATAACTAGGATAAAAATACTCACCATTCTCTTTTTTGGTAAGTAAATATAAGAAATGGCAGACATAAGGGCACTGTTAAAAGAGAAGAACTTTTAAAAAGGGAGAAATAACAATTTATGTTGAACACAAGAGCAACGAATTCTCCTCAAATGTCAATTTCATACTGATTAAGTGAAAAGGCTTCAGGATATCATTGGAAAATAGTTTAACAAAGCTTCTCTTTTTTATATTACACAGTAGTGATAAAAACCAAATTTTTAAAGATTTTATTTATTTATTTTTGCACAGAGAAGACGGGAAGGAGAAACAGGGAGAGAAACATCAGTGTGTGGCTGCCTCTTCACATCCCCGACTGGGGAACCTGGCCCGCAACCCAGGCATGTGCCCTGACTAACAATTTAACCAGTGACCCTTTGGTTCGCGAGCTGGTGCCAGTCCACAGAGCCACGCCAGCCAAGGCGATAAAAAACAAGTTTTAATTGGTATCCTGTGATGTCATTTTAAATTTTATTTTTAAAATATAAAACACTGCAGTTTGAAAAACAGAAAAACTACCTAACAAAAATTCATAAACTCCTTCTAGAAGTCCATGTTTATTATCATACAAACTTAAAACTTTAAGCCTGAATTCCCACTTAAGAGCATTTTCCCATGTTGCTTGATTTTCAAAATATCATTTCCAATGATCTTAATATTCCAATGAGTAAATATAATACCATAATTTAATTTACCATTTAGCCCTGTGTTTGGCAAATAGTACACAATCAATGAATCTGTTACTTAAATTACTAAATGGTTGGTTCCCTTATACCATTTCATTTTGAGTGTCCATTTGTTGAGGTTTTATTCTAGATCAGGAGTCAACAAATCTGCTTTTGTAAATCAATTTTATTGGAACACAGCCACACTTACTCCTTTATGTAATGTCTACACAGCTGCTTTCACTACACCAGCAGAGTGAGTAGTTGTCACAGAGACAGTATGGTCCTCAAGCCTAAATGTATACTACCTAGTCCTTCAAGAAAAAATTTGCCAACAACTGCTCTAGATGTTAAAAAACTGAAAAATAAATAATTTAATGGAACTAGAGAAGGTAACTTTTTAAATGAAGACTTTTTAAAAACAAACTTGTGTTTTGGTAGTCATGACTCTAAAGTTTAAAGTCTAAAGTATGACAGTCCATATTGCCTCTCCTCTACTTAGCAATAGATTCAGAAAGACTCCAAACATACTGGTAAGAAGAATAGACTTAAGGAATTCTTTTTTTATTATTTATTTACATATATTCTAAAGATTTTATTTATTTATCTTTAGAGGAGAAGGGAAGGAGAGAGGGAGAGAAACATCAATGTTTGGTTGCTTCTCATGAGTCCCCTGCTGGGAACTGGCCTGCAACCCAGGAATGTGCCTGACTGGGAATTGAACCAGTATCCTTTTGTTTTCAAGCCCGCACTCAATCCACTGAGCTACACCAGCCAGGGCTACAAAGAAATTCTTTTTTAAAGGAATGAATACATATTATGACCATATCTGCCATATTTGACACAAAATATAATAACTTTCATATAAAAAATACAACTCATTGTTTTGTCTTAACCAGTGTGGCTCAGTTAGTTGAGAGTAGTCTTGCAAAGCAAAAGGTTCACCACTTGGATTCCCAGTCAGGGCGTGAGCCTAGGTTGCAGGTTAGGTCGCCAGTTGGTGCACATATGAGAGGCAACTGATCAATGTTTATCTCTCATTATTTCACATCCTTAAAATATAAACCATTAGTATCACTATTTAACATGCTGGGTATGAAATGAGTCTCACACAATCACTTGCCTTAGGAACCAACAGCATAGAAAATCTGACATTCTCTATTAATCTCATCTAGAAAGGAAAAACTCATATGTGCCTAGGACTTCACCATTGCCTTCCTAGCAAATAGCTAACTACCATATCTGACTCAAGCCAGAGTCAGGCTTCCACCAAATTATATGAAAGTGAATTTTCTGAAGGAATGCTTTTATAAGTTAGGCTCCCTATTTCTTGATGTGGGTGATATTTGCACAAATGTTTTTAGTTTATAAAAATTCATTGAGCTTCTAACTTATAAAACAGAAAATTTTCTGTATGAATATTATATTCCAGTAAGTATTTTTTAAAATATAGAAAAAAAGAGGGACTTCCAGTCAAGATAGAGGCACAGGTAAACAAATTACCAGCCACCTCCTTGTAAAACTCCATCAAAATTAAAACTAAACTATAAAAGAACCATCATGCAGAACAGTCAGAAATGGGGACTTCCGGTGAAGATGGCAGCATAGGTAAACACAACTCACTTCCTTGGTGAACCACATCAAAATTTAAACTAAACTACATACCAAAGATCACTCAGAATCATCAGATATCGAGTTGAATGGAAGTCTGACAACTACAGAACAAAGAAACCACATCGTTCCAGAAGAGTAGGAGACAAATAGTTGCGGAATGGGCAGGTCCCACACCCACATTTGGTGAATAAAAATCTGGGAGGGGTATCCCAGGCACTAGGGGTCCCAGGCCCCCCAGCCATGGCAACAGTGCCTGTAAGAGAAGCCCATAATTTCTAGCTGCAGAAACTAGCAGGATAGGAGTTGGTGAAAAAACGACTGGACTCCTTGGCAGTTCCTATTAAAGGGCTCATGCTGAACTTACGCAGATGCATTCCCTCAACTCCAGCAACAGGATAGCAGCTTGAAGGGCACCAGTGGCATATGGGGAGGAAATGAAGTGTCTGGCATCAGGGCAAAAATGGAGGAAGAGCTCTCTCTCAGAAAGAAAGGAAGGCAGAAGCCACTGTGCCTTTTTTGAGCCCTACCCCCATACAACCACAGAACCAGCAGGCAAGAGCCATATATGAGACTCCATCAGTGTGGCTTACACTGTTTGCCCCACCCTAGAGTTTATCTGAGTCTCCAAAACACCCAAATTATGGGCTGCCCCCAGCTTTGTACCTCTTGCTAAGTGGCCACAGGCCTGGCACTAGCAGCAGCCAGAACAGATTCATAACTTGGCTTCACCTGGGAATCTCCACACCCAGCACAAATAGCAACAATCTCAGATTGCTTTACAACACATGCAGCGTGGCCCCAGCACTGACCCTGGCCTGTGACATCCGGGAAAGCCCAGAGCCAGTCTACCCAATGGACAACTACAGACCATGTCACAGAACTACCACCCTGCCCCTGCATAGCTGATCCTCCTGAGTGAGATGGTTGGTGGTCAGTGGTCACAGCCAGTACTTGCACCTGATTGGCAAAGGCAAATCCCTCCCATTGACCTGCCAATAGCAATTAAGACTCAACTATAAGAGGAGAGAGTACTTAGTCCACATGAATGGCACCCCTTCAATACCCAGCTTGGGCTGAGCCACTAGACCCTATAGGACACCTACTACATTAGGCCGCACTACTAAGACAGAGAGTCATAGCAGCTTTACCTAATGCAAAGAAACAAACACAGGGAAGCAGTGAAAATGAGGAGACAAATAAACATGACCCAAATGAAAGAAATCAAAGCTCCAGAAAAGAACTAAACAAAAAGGAGACAAGCAATCTATCAGATGCAGAGTTCAAAACATGGCTTATAAGGACGCTCAAGGAATGTAGTAAGGACAACAGCATAAAAAAGATCCAGTCAGAAATGAAGGATGCACTAATTAAAGAACAATTTACAAGGAAAAAACAGCAGAGTGGATGCAGCTGAGAATCAAATCAATGATTTGGAATATAAGGAACCAAAAAAAAACCCCACTAAAATGTGACTGGTATGTAGTGCAAAGGAGATGTGAGAGAGCTGGCTGGGCACCCACAGGCAGCAGCTTAAGTGCTGGATAAATATTCCAGCAACTGGGGGAATCTCACTGGGAAGTGTGGGGTCTAAATGCCAAGCTGGACTCTCCAGCCTAGAGCACCAGAGGCAGAAACATACCCAGACAACAGCTATGAAAAGCAGCAGAGTTTCTCTCTGGCAGGGACAGACAGCTGGAGTCACAGAGAGCCTTTAAAGGGCCAAAACATAAATTTTCATTTGCAGCCACTTACTCTGAGCGCCGGCAAAGGGAGGGCATAGTGGACTAGACACTTGAGGAGAGACTGGAGATGGTGGCTTTGGGGAGAGAACTGAGAGCAACCACTGGGATCCTGGTGCTGAGTCATCTCCCATACTGCAGGAGCCATCTTAGAGTAACCCCCTCTGAGTAGCATCAGCCTGAAGGGAAGCAGTAGCCCAGCCCACAGGAATTACTCTACCATACTCTGTAGTGCTTACACCTCACTGCTGAGTACAATGACTAGATTAACTGAAGGAAACAGCCAAAGACGGTAGATCCCTGGATGTCTCCAACAGGCTGCCTAAGGCCAATTGGGGCACTATGTGTGACATTATTAGAGGTGGTTGCAGAAAGAAAAAATCAGTGGTAAATACTAGATGCTACCAAGAAAAAACCTATTGTGGTCTTCTCCATGATTTGCAATATTTTCTCTCCTGCAATTTTTAATATATTTAATTTATTTATTTTCAAAGAAAGGTGAAGGGAGGAAGAAAGACAGGGAGATAAACATCAATGTGTGGTTGCCTCTCATGCGCCCACTACTGTGGACCTGGTCTGCAACTCAGGCATGTGACCTCACTAAGAATTGAACCATCAACCCTTTGGTTCAAAGACTGGTGCTCAATCCACTGAGCCACTCCAGCCAGGGCATCCTGCATAGGTTTTTTAATGTTCACTTCTTGTCTTTCAAGTTTGTGCATATTGAGTCATAAGATATGATATTATAGTTTATTTCTTTTTTTCTTTTTTTAAATATACTTCATTAATTATGCCATTACAGTTGTCCTATTTCCCACGCTTATTCCCCTGCACCCTGAACACCCCTCCCCCACCATTCCCCCCTTTAGTTTATGACCATGTGTCTCAAGTTCTTTAGATTCTATATTTCCCCTATTATACTTGCCCTCCCCCCTATCTATTTTCTACCTACCGTCTATGCTACTTATTTTCTGTACCTTCTGCCCCCTTCTCCTTCTCCCACTATCCTGTTGCTAAC